TCCTCCTCCTCCTCCTCCTCCTCCTCCTCCTCCTCCTCCTCCTCCCTGGTTCGGTGGGGGTTCTCTGCCCACGAAGGGACGATCAATCGGCGCACCAGGGGTGCGGGGACGGAGAGCCCCAGACACCCGGCGGCCCGAGCCAAGTCGAGGCCGCTGGCCTGCCGCCGCTGCCTTTGGAGCAGGGGCCGACCGTCCCGGCATTCCTAGAGGCCTGCCACGACATGTTCTCGGAACCCAAGGGTGTTCTTATCGGGGGCGGCCAAGAGAGAGGTTTCCAGAAGGGGCGGGGCGCAAATCATGGCAGGCGGCATGTGCACGGCCTGGAGGGGGACAGCGACGTACTGAAATCAGAAGAGGCGCCATGAAATCTGGGGAGATATCATGGCCCCTGCCATGATATCCACCCCCCCCTCGTCATCACCCCCCTCTTTGCCGCCCCCGATCTCAGGGCAAAAGCAAGGTTCTGAGAATATAAGCCCGATGTGCTAAAACAAGACGAACCCAGCCAGAACTGTTCTAAGAACATCTCGAGCAGACCACAAAAGGTTCTTAGAGCATCCTCTGTTGGGCCTATGGGCAGGCCGGGACACGCTTCGCCATTGAGGAGTCTATGTGGCCTCCGGAGGCCGGCTCCGGGCCTCGGAGCGGTGGGCAAACGGCTCGGGAGGAGAAGGCGGTCCCTGAAGAGCGGTCCCCAGAGCCGGCGCAGAGGAAACGAAGTCGGTGCGTCGTGCGTCGTGAAGCCCCATATAGACGCTGCAGGACGCGGGAAGCAGCCCGCGCGAGCTGTCCTATAGGCACGCGTCCCGCCTCTCCCGCGTCCCTCCCCCGGCACCCCCCCCGAGTCCGCTCCTCCCCTCCCCGCGTCGGATGTCTGGGGTGCGAGCGAACCTCGGGCTGCGGGCGCCGTGCTGCCACGGGGAACGCCGAGCAGGGAGCGAAGGAGCCTCTCCGGCCACGGCGTGGCCTCGCCAGCGAAGAGGCTCCCCGACCTGCGGTCGGGCACTCTTGCGCAGCGTGTCGCGGCGGCGGCCCTGGCGACACGATATGCCCTGCGAGCGGGTAATATCTCGCTCCGCTCCGCGGAGCGGGAGGCGGGGAACATCTCGTGACGTTGACGCCTGGAAGTCAGAACGTGGATCGCGTGTCGCTCCGAAGCGTGGCTGCCCAGAACAGGCGGAGCCACACGCTGAGCCAGAGTTCCTGACCGTCGGTCCAAGGCCGTGCGCGGCGACAGCGAAATCGAAAACGGACCGCACCAACAAAGAAATTGAAACCGACCGAAATCGGCAGGCCGAAAGCAGCCTGGAGAGGCGCAGCGGCGCGGCAGCGGCACGATGCCCGACCAAGCCGAACCGGCCGAACGCCACCGAAGGGCGGCGCAAGCGAGCCGACCGAGCCGTGGATGCCCTCGAGGCCCGAGGAGCGGCCCGACCGCCACAGGCCCTCCCTGAGCCCCAATCGGCGGCGAGAGAGGGGGGAAGGCCCTCTCAGAAGGCGGCGAGACTTGTCAGGAGCCCTCGCGCCTCCTGAGAAGGCTCTCTGTGCCTTCGGGGACGGCTCAGAGAACTTCTCACGAGGCTGGGGCACTGCCGAGCCCTCTGAGGAGGCCCAACCCTTCTCGCTTCCCCCCCAAGGCTGGCCGCCGACTGACGTTGCCCCTGGCTCGTCCCACCCCCCCACGTTGTTCGCGTCGCAGTAGTAGTCCTCGCACTGCGACTCCTTGTCGTTCTGGCGTTCGCGCGCGCGCGCCGCAGCTTGCCCCGCGGGGAGGCGATGTGGCGCTGGTCGCGGGAGGCATCGGCGGCGTCCGCCCGGCTGGGCTGGGAGGCCAGGGGAAGTCCTCCTCTGCGAGGCGGGGAGTTGTCCATGACCACCGCTCTGGGAGATCATCTCCGGGGGAGTCGGCAGGCGGTGGATATGGATCTGCCCAAAACACACATTTACATATAGAGTATACACATCTACGCTTACATATAAATAAATATCGAAATAAGTATATACGATATTATATGAGTGTACATATATATATATATATATATGTGTGTGTGTCCACATATACACACCTCCATATCCATATCCATACCCGGCATTATCCATGCCATATCTACATCCATATCCACCGCATGCAGAGGTCCCCTGAAGGATCCCCAAGGCGGTGGCTATGGAAAAAACACCGCCTCGGATCCTTCCTCTCCTTCTGGAGCCAGAAATTAATTAGTGGCGGTCTTGGCCAATCCTGACGCCATCGTGGCCCCGAGCCCCTAGCAGTTTCGAGTTACGCCTCAATGAGAAAGAAGGAGAGGGGAACGGCGACGAGGCGGTCTCCTCCTCCTCTTCCAACTTCTCCTCCTCCCTGCCTGCTCCGCCTCCTCCTCCTCCCCCTCATCCTCCTCCCCCATCCTGTGCCTGTCCATAATCCTCTCATTCCTCCTACTCCTCTTCCTCCTCATCCTCCTCCTCCTCTTCCTTCTCCTCCTCGTCGTCGTCATCGTTACCCTCATTGTCGTCATCATCATCATTATCATCATCACCATCATCAGCAGCAGCGTCAGCATCATCGTAATCAGCAGCAGCATAATCATCGTCATCATAACCATCCGTCATCATCATCATCCTCATCATCAGCATCCTCATCTGCATGATCACTGTCACCATCGCCGTCACCAACGCCACGACCATCATCATCACATCCTCATCACCAATCGCCAACCACCACCACCACGACAATCATCATCATCATCATCATCAGCATCATCATCATCATCATCAGCAGCAGCAGCATCATCATCATCATCATCATCATCATCATCATCATCATCATCATCATCATCATCATCATCATCATCATCGTCATCATCATCATCATCATCATCATCATCATCATCATCATCAGTATCATTATCATCACCATCATCTCATCATCATCAGCATCATCATAAGCATCATCAGCATCATCAGCATCGTCATCATCGTCATCATCGCCATCGTCATCGTCATCAACACCATCAACAACATGGACACCGATGCAGTGTACCTCCGTTGTGGTGGTGACGGGCCAGCTCCTCGTGCTGGGGCAGAATACTGCGACCAGCACTTCGATCTGACCGATCAGAAGTACTACCAATTCCAGGATGAAGTCGTTTTCCACGATTGCATCACGGAAGAGGCCAACGAGCTGATGTTCGAGGCCGAAGTTTTGGAAGAGTGTCCTTTCCTTGGTGGGGGAGCCAAGGGAGGAAGAGGAGGCCAGAAGGCTCAGCGTGGACGAGCAGGACAGGTTGAGGTCATGGCCAAACCAAATTGACAGCTGACGATGACGGTCAAACAGCTTTGTGCTGCTACAAAGTCGAGGGGAAGACTGTCATTCAAGATCGTGGAGTTGCCGCCGACTCAGTCGGGCGGCAACGACAACAAGAAAAAGAGGAGTAAGGAGCCCGTAGTCCTCAAGAAGATCCGTCGACTTCTAGGGAAGATCGACAAAGAGGGCTACGTTCCAACAGAGAAGCAGGTTTTGGCACAGTTACGAGTAGTGTGCGGTGCTGCTGAACACGAGAATACTACGAGTGCCTCGCCTGCGGTGAGGACTAATACTGCATCAAAGAAGGCGACGCCCAGACTCATACAGTCGGAGTGGGGTGCGACGACGACGATAAGGGCGGCGCCATCACTTTCGGATCGTGCATATGATTTGCCGCCTGTGATTGTGTGCGCTACAGTCCAGGATTACAGGACGGCGAGACCGTGGCTTGCAGCTACTTGCGGCGAGTCAACTACCCTCGTGGTGTTCGAGACCACGGACACGTTGCTCCAGGAGGGCGCTACGCAGGCGGAGGTCCTTGTCAGTACTGATACGGGATCGAAGCCGACGGCATGCATGTTGCACTACATTGGAGAGAAGGCCCCACGGAGGGTTGGACTTTCAGAAGGAGTGTACGATGACAAGCCAGATACCGAGCCAATCAAGACGCGACGACGGTATTGAGGATGCCTTGTGCCCAAGCTTTCTGTGCTGATGACATATTTGCTCAGGCTGCGCAGAAGCCAGCATCATTATCAGGACTGGTGATGAATGCTGAATTGACGAAGGATGTGATTCGCACGAAAGAGCCATCAGTTAAGATTCGGAGATCATGATGTTGCTCATTGTGAAGACAACGGGAGTTGAGGCCATTATGAGTTTTGAATTACCAGCTGGAGCCTCTGTCAATTGTCAGAAGAGTTCATTGATGCCGGGTTGGTTCAAACAATGAGAGGAGGAGGAGCTCGCGGACTACTGGTCTCGAGTATCCAAGGTTCGTGCACAAGTCAAAGGGAGGATGCTCTATAGACCTAGTCGTGATGCACCCTTGGGAGTTCTAAGTGACAAGGCCATTGAGGGCCTGGATCTCCTGCCACGCTGATATTTGCAGAGGGCACCGCCGCATTGGCTACAGCCCCCGAAGAGGTATCAGCGTGGGCAACACAGCGTGGCTTCCTCAACGTTACGGCAGTGACGAGGACGGGGAGGCGTACCTGGCTCTTTCGTGGAGGCCTTGCCGCGGCGAGAGCTCACAGTGACCTGACGTACAGGTGTGCCTCGGGTGCGATTGTCAGCATCGCCTTCGGGGCCAACAAAGACAGCAAACAGAAGGGGGCGAAAGCTCAGAGCGCGTGGGGAGTTGCAGCTCCCCAGTGGCGGCAAGCCTCAGAGGACGAGGAAGAGTCGCCGACGCCGGCAGCAGAGCCCGCACAACCCACACCCAAAGCGGAACCTCTGAACGATGGCCAACCAGTCCAAGAGGCTGCTGCGTCACAGCAATGTCCAGCGGCAGGAGGAGGTGAACCAAGACCCAAAGTACCCAGAGCGCCGCCACAGGCGCCATGGCAGCGGTGTAAGGAACAGCGGGATTTCGGAGGCGATGGAGATTGTTGTTTCATTGCATGCGGAGTCGGGCAGAATGATATCCAAGCAAAGCCGAAAGAGCTCTCAAAGGCCGACAAGGCGCCAGGAGGCAAAGTTCAACGTGGACTACGACTCCTAGTGGCAGCGGAGATTAAGGCGAACCTTAAGAAGTACGGGCCACCCAGGCGGATGTCGACAGGATCGGTACGGCTGGGAAATTGGCAGATACTATGTGTGTACGTGCAACGGCCTTTGGTTTGAAAGCAGATATTTGCATTTGGAAGCACAATGCGAATAATGCAACTACGGGCAGATGGGTCTTGTACACATCGCCGCAGAAGTATCGCAAGAAGGTCTGGCTCGCGCTGAAGGACAAGCACTACACGTTGCTTACGCCAAAGCCTAAGTTCAATGACATAATTGAAAAGCACTGGCGAGAGGGTGAATTACCTGATCCAGGCGTCTTTACAAGAGAAGGTCGAAGCATACCAGCAACCACACGGGCAAAGAGTACGAGAGCTACGTCAGCGAGAAACACAAAGAAAATGACGGAGGAGGATGCACGCAGCTTGTTTGGGGTTGGTTCATCATGCTCAGAGGCGGCACCTTCACAGGCATCTACGCTCAGGAGGGCAAGGTCGCTCTTAGGGGTTTCCCCAAAGACGGCCAAGACGCCCAAGACTTCGAAGACGGCTCGACTACGAGTACGAGGAGGAAGGCGCTGGAGGATGCGGTGAGCATGTTCGGTGTCGATGAAGAAGGAGAGGAAGTGGAGCATGTGGCTGTGGCGGTGGATGCTACAGCAGGCGTACATTTGAAGTGCCCGTCGTGCGGTTGGTTACCATCGGCGGAGACAGCTTGCAAGGGAGCCCAGCAGGCGCGTGTCCACTGGAGGAATTGTTGTGGTGAGATACCGCCAGGGAAGACGAAAGAGGCGGTGCGAGCTCACTGTTACAAAGCAGCGGCGGCGAAGACAGTGGTGGTGAGAGAGAAGACGTGGCAGGCCTGGCTGGCCTGGCGCGCCAAGCTATCACCACAAATGCAGCTGGCTGTATGCACTCCGACCAAGGAGAGCGAGTTTCAGAAGACGATCCACATCGCGAGTGGCGGCAGTGTACACAATATGTACTACACATGCTCACGGTGTGGGAATCAGAATATGCTTGTCAATTTCAAACATTGTGCATGCAGAAGCCGACGGACAACACTCACCGCGCAGCAGCTTGTCATGGATGAGAACGTTTGTTCGCCATGGGGAGAAAAAGGTGAGAGTACTCAGGAAGCCATCGGCAAGGCGTCCTTTTTGTGCAGTACGACCTCATTGACTAGGCACACAAGTTGCAGTTGCTGTGGAATGTTTCACGTATGATGGCCGTGGCAGGAGTATCGAAGTTGGATCTCTATGCTTGGTCAGAACGCTAAGTCCTGGGGAAGGCCCCATGCGAGGGAACACCTCAGGCATAAAGTCACCATGTCAAGCTGGACTGGTCAGAACGATAAGTCCTGAGGAAGCCCCCACGCGAGGGAACACCTCAGGCATCAAGTCGTCATGTAAAGCTGGACCGGGTCCCGAGGAAGCCCCCACGCGAGGGAACATCTCGGGCTCACGGCCTCGAAGTTTCACTTCAAGTACTGGTGCAGTTTCTGTCCAATGTTTCAAAACGAATACTGATGCAGTTGCTGCCGAATGTTTCACATCTTCTGTAGAGTGTTTCATGGGTGACCCTCTGCTGGGTGGTGGTGATCCTCGAGAGTCGCAGCAAGACTGGCAGGGTCCTGACCAGGAGGAGGATGACTCAAGTGTGGATGGACGTTGTATTTCAGGATCGGCCAAAATGTTGACGATCCATGTTACATCGCTTAACAAAGCACGCTTGCATGAGGTTTTGGCCAACGCGCTGAAGGATGACGAGGTGAAGGTCATTGCCATGCAGGAGCTACGCCAGATGCATGAGAAGCCGAGGTGGATCATTCAGGAGGCGAAGAAAGCTGGGTGGGCGGTGGCCTGCTCGATCCCCCCGCCACGAGCAGGGATCCATTCAGTGGCGCACGGGGGTACGGCAACAGTTTGGCGTCCGAGGCTTGGGCGCGCACATCGGTGATCAGAGACAAGCTTTTTGGACACAGATTGGTTGGACAACGAACATCACGGGCCACCTATGTGTCTATGTATGCACCTGCACAGCCAGACTCTGGATGGATGGCGTCATTGGCAACATACCTGCAGAGTTTGGGAGTTGACGGTCACCCAGTCTTCTTTCTTGGTGACCTGAATTGGAAGGTGGTGTATCGAACTCAGTTTGGACCAGGCTTTCAGTTCGCCTCTCAAAGCATACCAAATACAGCCATGGGGACGACGCCTACGAGGTGTGGAGTCTTAGGGCCATTGGACTGTATTGCGCCTTCGTGTGAAGGTACAAAGCTACTCCCTGGCATTCCACATCATGGACTGGTCAGGTATTCGATCCAAGTGCCAGGACATGCTCGAAAGACGGTACGGCTACACCACACAGCAAGATATGTTCTTGATCGTATGCCTTCAGACGAAGTCCGAGAGGAGCTACAGAGTGAAGTTGACCAACGTATACCACCACAATGTGACCTGGGGATGACGGCAGCAGCGGCCGTGAGCAGGTGGAAGTTGTGGCATCAGAGAGCTGAAGAGCACTTCAGATTGTAGCAGAGCTTGATTTTGTTGTTGTGGACCGCCAGCCTGAGAGGAAGAAAGGGTCTCTTCCCTCTTTCAGGCCGGTGGACTCGGGGGCCATCCACCGCATCGACCAGACCATCAAGTTACGACGTCTACTGAGGTTGCATCGTCGTTTTCTTCATGAAGTCAGAGGGGCGCGGCCACCATACCTCCTTGATGTATTGGGTGGGCGGGACCTGAAGAGTTTTGCACAAGCAGTGGTGGATGACCTATTCCCGTACCGAGGAGATGTGATCCCTACATATGCGGAAGCGCTTGACATGATCTCGACTGGCATTACAGGCGGAGAACATCAAGATTGCGAAGCAGAAGACGTCGGAGTGGAAGAAGCGCTTTGCGACCTGGAGTACGGATCTGTATAGATTGACGACACCATTGTTCAGAGCGACGGCACCAGCGGCGTCCTTTGGATCAAAAGAAATGAAAGAGACTTGGGAGGCCCAGTGGTGTCCCAATGATCCTGAGTCTGCCCGAGAGCATCTTCAGAAGTGGAAGCATCATGCAGCACAAGTACAATTTCCGCAGTCTAGTCAAGCGAACGACTGGATACCGAGTCCGGAGTCTTTCGAGGAGGTCATTGACAAGGCGTCGGGAACAGCAGGCTTTGATGGCTGGGAAGCTAAGGAGTTGAAGATCATAAAGAAAGTATTTCCAGATATTCTCAAAGAGTTGCACGAGGCATGGGTATTTACCTCCCAGTATGCGGTGCAGCTACGAGGACGTCTTCCACCAGAGGTACTGTCGCAGATATTTCCTTGGAGGGTGGTAGGCGTACCAAAGAACGAGTCGGACTTGAGGCCGATTTCTGTAGGTTCTATCGTGATGCGGTGTTGGTTAAGTGCTTTGGCGAAGGCCCTACCACAACCGTGTGACACGCAATGGGCGGGCAAGAAGGGAGTCAGCGTGGTCCATGCAATCTCCCAATGGCTTGCAGACTGTACACAGGCGGATGCTGACGCAGAGCTTGATCTGTCCCGCGCATTTGACTACATCAGTCATGAAGTTGGTGAGGCTGGGCTGCTGGCTACTGGTACCCCCGATATGGTGGTGTACACGGCCCCGGCAGCTTGGACTGGACCACGGTATCTAAGTGTGGGTGGTGAATATGCTGCCCAATTTGTACCTCAACGTGGGTTACAGCAGGGTGACTCGATTGCTCCAGCAGCAATGATATGTACTTTGACTCCATGGAGGCCGTTCTCAGGACAAGCGTATATAGATGATCGGAGCCTGACAAGTGCGACGAGGGAGCAGCTGCAGGAAGACCTTGACATGACCATGACTTTCGACCGAGTTTGTGGACTTG